TTAGAAAAAATATAAAATATAATATAAAGCTAAAAATAAATATATACTAATATAGAAAAAAAAAGTAAATTCTATTATAACATTAACAGTTCTTTTACTTTGATTATTAAACTCAATACTTTTTTATTTTTTTTCTTACTAGTTTGATATTTGAAGTTTATAAATTTATCAAAATATAAATTTCAAGTACACTTTTGCAATTTTGATAATATTTTATTTAAAACTTCTCTTAGATCTAAGATTTGGACTTGAACAAGAACTAAATTGTTAAGTATTTTTTGTTTCTATTTTTTTTATTTATTTTAGCAGATACTAATCTTTTTCTTGTTTTTTGTAGACTTTGGTTTTTTTAGAATGCAAAAGTAGACTAATAACAAAGTTCTAAACTGTGACAGAAAGTAAGAACTATGGCTGAAGATATGTATTAATTCTTTTATTTATTTATTTATTTTTATTTTTCCTTGACAGATATTAATATCTTTTTTTTTGTAGGTTTTGGCTTTATTAAAATGCAAAAATAAATTAGTAATAGGGTTTTGAACTTTGGTAAAAAATAAGAACTATGGCTGAAGATAAGTACTAATTTTTTTTTTTTTTTTATTATTTGGCAGATAATAATTTTTTTTTCTTATAGGCTTTGACCTTTATCTTATTAGAATATGAAAAAACTAGCAATAGGGTTCTGAACATTGGCAAGTATTAATTCACATTGGTTAACTGAAATCTTGACTTAGTTTAGAATTGAGAACAAAATCAAAGATAAGTATTAAATTTTTTTTTTTTGGTATTGTTTTTTTTTAATTCTTTTTTAGCATGAGCTAATTTTTTTTGTATCTAGCTTAGATGAATTGCATTAAGATTTGGAAACTGGTTCATTTCTTCTTTTTCTGCTTAACTACTGTAACTTATACTTTATAATATAATTATATAGTTATTATGATGTATAATTTCATGTTGGAGTAAACAATGTTAAGCTGAATTAAAACTTGTATTAGATTAAAACAACTATAATATCACTAATACCTACTTACCTTTACCCTAACATATCAAATATTTCAAAAGTTCCACTACTGGTCTCTATTTTTTTTGAGATTACAATAATTATTAATGCAAATATAGATATAAGGTCATTGAAAAAATAGAGACCAGTAGTGGAACTTTTGAAACACTAAGTATAGAGTTTTATTTTAATTCTAATAAAACTCTGCATATAATATTTTTTATTTCAATAAAATAAGTTTATGCATTTACAAAGAATATATTTATCTTTTATTTATTTAAAATAAAATCTAAAGAATTGTTTAAATCTTTAATAAATTTTGATTTTTCTTCTGGGCTCTCTTCATTTTCTATTTTCTAATATGAATTTTGGGTTTTTTTTATTAATTCATTGGCAACTAAACATCTATTTTTAGTGATTTTCTTAGTCTTAGTCTTTTTAGGCAATTCTATTTCCATTAAATTAAAATGCATATATATTTCAAAACTATTTTCTTCAAACATATTTTGAAATTGTCTCTATATATTTAAAGTTAATAGTTTTTTATCATTATACATATATTCATAAAATATATGTCAGCAAGAAAGTAAGTACTAATGAAAAAACAGACAAAAACAGTTTAAAAAAATTAAACCTAGTGATTTTTTATCTCTTTCTATTCTTTTTTCAATAGCACAAACTTCAGCAATAATTAATTGTTAGATTGAAAATAGAAACTTGTAAATTTGATCAAGAATTTTATCATCAATGTCAACAACTGAAATTTGTTTAATTCTGAATTTAAAAGCTACATATTCTGTATTAGTGTATTTTTTTATATCTAAGATGACAATTTTATGACATGTGCCTAATATAAATAGAACAAATGATGCTTGAATTTTTATTTTTACATCAATGATTTAATAAATAATAAATTTAACTCTACACAAATTTTTTTTTACAAAAAAGACTTTTTTTTTTTTTATTATAGTAAAGTTCTATCTTGGAAATGCAATGTTTTTATTCAAGTATATTAGAACATGGCATGCCACCAGGGGCTCACTTTATATTGGAGGTTACAACTAGTCACACATGCACTTTTGGTGCCTAGTTTAAGTAGTCTGCTTACACATTGCTATATAAGTTCTATACTAGTTGTCATATCTACAGGCTGACTAAAAGTCTTGCCTATTTAAATTTTTTGCATATGCAGTCCTCTTTGTATTATAAGAACATTTCAAGGCTACACCCATTCAAGTTCCCGATGCTTGTTGTTACCTTTAGAACTAGTTTATCCTTAACAAGAAACTTACTAGAGTCTTTATGTCCCACATATATAAACCTAGTTTTATACAATATGCTATAGTTACCTAACACTTGCAGTCATAGAAGTTATCTGTTTAACTACTACATTACACTATTTCTGCTCTTGTAAAATTTACTAGAACCCTAGTACCTATCTTCCTGGCATCTTCTCCATTATTCTTTACTAGCTGCAACTCAGAACTATTAGTCTCATTCCAGACTACCAATTCAGATGGTCTAGTATAATATACTCTGTATCTTTTTCTTTTGGCGAATCTGACAGCCTAGTTGGTTATATGCTCCTCTATACATATTTGACATCTGGTTTTAATTTTTGGTTCCTATGAAGGTGTTTCATAAGCTTCAACTGGTTCAATAGTACTGTCAAAAGTTTATGCTATCTCTTTACTCAGGAATTTCCAAGTGGGTTTCTGTTACCTTAGTTCCTTAGTCTTCTATGCCTGATGGCCTTATTGTGGGTTTGCACCAAAGTCTTATACAATACCAGTTATACATTCAACTATATATGTATAATGTTACACTTCACATAAATGCTTGAGCTTCCAATGTCAGTAGAACCTGACTTGGTATATCTGAGTAACAGCTACATGAGGCCAACTAATTGACAGAAAACAGTTATCTTAATGTAGATATAATTTTCAAATTTCATTATCAATAGAATTTAAATCTTAAATCTGCTACTTGGAGGATGACAACCTAATTATTACACTAGGATCACTATTCTTACAAAAAAAATTTTTATTTAAAAAAAAATAAAAATAAAAAAAAGATTCTAGATAATTTTTTTTTAAAAAAAAATTAACATAAAATAAATAAAAATAAATAATTAGGCTTCCAGATCTAACTAGAACAGTTTTTATATTATACCTATTATACTATGACTTAATGATATTGTTGTTTTTAACTCACTATAGTATAATTTTAAGGCATTTATCAAAGTTACTTGCAATAAAAGTGGTAAATGCTGTTGAGTTCATAAATTCTATTTATTTGAATTCTTTTGATAATTTCTTTTGATATAATTTTTTATATTAGCAATATAACATAACTCAATTGCCTCTTTGATAAGCTTATTATACCTGTTTTTTGTAGTTTTTTTACATTATTTGAATCATTTTATTTTGGGTTTTTGTTTCATATATTTTACTTATCTATACTCACATTATATAAATTATACAAAAAATTACTGTACATTCTTGCTCACTATACCAAAAACCAGAAAATGCTTTTATAATACTATTAGCTTTAACATGGCTTTGATCAACTAGAATATATCATAGCTTCTAATAGCTTCCAAATTTTTTTATAATTTTTAAGGCATCTGAAACTGTGTCACTATCTTCTTTATCAACAAAAAAATAGTGCCAATATTTCAATAGCTATATGAATCTCAAATATACAAGGTAAACAGACAGCAATCATATTTGTTGGTTTTATATATTAAATTAATAAGGGTTAACTATTCATATTGTTCAAGTTTAACAAGTTGAAAGAGATGTATAAAGATCAGACTATAAGTAGACTAACTAGAAATTACATAATGTTTAATATGATAGTTCTGGTTTTTTAAAAAAAGAATACTTTTTTTATATCAGATTCTTTATATTTATTATCTTTTAAATAGTTATTTTGAATCTCACAAACTTTGTATTTAATGTTTGTAACTTTAGTATATTTTAGCTTCTTAACACTTGAGCCTAGGTCTAACATTCTAGTCATATAGTCTTTAACTGCACTCATAATAGTAAATAGCAAATAGTTTTTGGTCACTTCATTCTTAACTAATTTCTATACTGCTTATGAATATTTTAGTCTTTCACTTTCATCAAATATGTGTGTATAACCAGAACTTCTATTATATTGTTTAATTTGCACTTTTTGACACTAACAAAACTTAGCACCCAAATTTTTGCAGAACAGAAATTGGATAGAAAGACCTTTGTTTTTTAACATTTTTCAACAAGAATTTTATCTGTTTGATCACTTGAATAATTATGCTTCATTAATTAGTATGCAAATGCCTTTCAAGAATTACTATTTGTATAATTTTTATAACTAAACTTGTTTACACATTTGTAACAAGCAGCCACTATTCACAATTAAATTCATCTATTAATATTTCGAATGGTTTATCAACATTAAAGAGAAGTGCTTACCTTTGATTAGGAGTTGTAGATTGCGATATATAAACTTTGATCTCTTTATATGCTGTAGATGCTTCATCTGCTGCAGATATTGCTTGTATCTTCTCATCTTTTTCACTATTATCCAACACAACTATGCCATTTTTTTCCAACACAGTCTTTTTGTTTTCTACTAAAACTTTACCTTCATCAACTTCCTTAAACACATTGCTTTCTCTTTTAATGAAGTTACCAATTATATTAAAAAAAAAAATCTATATTATTATAAAAAAGAAGTTACAAAATAATAATTCAGTAATCTATATTATTGTTGCAATCCAACTACAGAACTACAATACAATAAATATGCTCTGCTCACTAAATAATAGTAACATAGCAGTAGTATTTTTGAAAGTGCTTTCAACAATATATTTTGATTCAGTAATAATATGTAGTAAAAAAAAAGTCTTAATTTTTATTGTTTGTATATAACTAATACAACTGCAAAGAAAAAGAGTATTTGAGAGAAAAAAAAAAAGTGATTTCTTTTAAAAAAAAAAAAAGGAAAGAAATTTTTTTAAAAAAAAAGCAAGAGATTTCTTTTAAAAAAAAAAAGAAGGAGATTCTTTTAAAAAAAAAAAACATAAAAGAATGTAAAAAAAAAGTTATCATAGATATTGAAAAAAAATTAAGATCATCATGGCTTTTATAATTTCCTATATTATAAGTAATTTTATAAGGTGTTAAACTTTAAACAACTCTTGAAAAGGCATGAACTAATAGAAAGAACTCAAAATGTGTACTGAAAAATAAAAAATAAAGAGAGCTCAAAAAAAAAAACAAATTTTATTAAATATTTAAACAATTCTTTAGATTTTATTTTAAATAAATAAAAAATAAATATATTCTTTGTAAGTGCATAAACTTATTTTATTGAAATAAAAAGTATTATATAATTATACCAAATTAAAGTTGTATCAGATCAGAATTTAAATGTAAAATTAGAATAAAACCTATACTGAATGTTCTACTACTGGTTTCTATTTTTTCAATAATCTTATATTCATATTTGCATTAATAATTATTATAATCTTATAAAAAAAATAAAGACCAGTAGTAGAACTTTTAAAACACCTGATATGTTAGAATAAGGGTATATAGGTATTAGTAGCATCATAGTTGTTTTAATCTGATACAAGTTTTAATTCAACTTAACATTATCTGCTTTAACATGAAATTATACATCATAGTAACTATATAATAAAGTATAAGTTACAATAATTAAGTAGAAAAAAGAAGAAATAACACATTTTCCAAATTCTAATGCAATTCTATATTTCATCTAGGGCTGAAAATTACATTTTACAATTTTACATTTTATGTAATTTTGTATAAGTTTTAGTAATATGAATTTTATATAAATTTTACATATGATATAAAGTACTAGCATTATGAAAAACTCATCTAGTATTGTTAAACTATAATAGATTTTAAATAATTTTACTGATCAAATTGATACATATATGATCCAACTAATCATGTTCATGTTTTTTACAAATTATATGAAAACTATCTTATTGAAAGCTCATACAAAATTATACAAAATTATGTAAAACTATGGTAATTTTACAATTTTAAACTAGATATAAAAACATTAGTATATACTAAAAAGAATTAAAAAAAAACAACTCCAAAAAAAAAAAATTTAATACTTATTTCTGGTTCTGTTCTTAGTTTTAAACTAAGTTAAGATTTCAGTTAACCAATGTAAATTAATATCTGCCAAAGTTCAGAACCCATTGTCAGTTTTTTTACATTCTAATAAGATCAAAGCCTATAAGCAAAAAATAATTATTATTTGCCAAAGAAAAATAGAAATTAATAGAAAAAAAAAGAATTAGTACTTATCTTCAGCCATAATTCTTATTTTTTATCAAAGTTCAAAACTCTATTGCTGGTCCAGTTTTGTATTTTAATGAAGCCAAAACTTATAAAAAAAAAAAGATATTAATATTTGCCAAGAAAAAATAGAAATAAGTAAATAAAAGAGAAATTAATATATATATTTAGCTATAGTTCTTATTTTCTGCCACAGTTTAAAACTCCATTGCCAGTCTACTTTCACATTTTAAAAAAACTAAAGTCTACAAAAAACAAGAAAGATATTAGTATTTGCCAAAACAAACAAATAAATAAATAAATAAAATTGGAATAGAAACAAAAAATACTTATTAATTTAGTTCTTGTCTAAGTCCAAATCTTAGATCTAAAAGAAAGATAAGTTTTAAATGAAAGATTATCAAAACTGCAAAAGTATACTTGAAATCTATATTCTGGTAAACTTATAAACTTTAAATATTAGAATATTAGAAAAAAAAACCTTATTAAGAAAACCAGTAAGAAAAAAATAAAAAAATATCTCATTTAGTAATCAAAATAAAAGAAGAAACTGTTAATATTATGCAACTAATTTAACTAGATGTTGAATTAAATATGTAACATTAATAATTATTAAAGTAGATTCTATGTTATTTTTTCAAAGGGTCAAGATAATCTGTATTTTATAATTTCCTAAACTTTAGGTGATTTCATGAGATGCCAGGCTTTAAACAATCTTTAAATATAGAAGTAACTGATTGTATTCAATAAATTTCTATTAATAGATGGTTTACAGAATTTTGGTATAAATGAATAGAGTATAGATTGGGAAATGATAGTATAGTTATACAAAAATTATGTAAGAAAAAAAAAAGATAAGATGAGAACAAAAAGTAGAAAAAAAGTTTTGTAAGAGGATAAAAGATAAATTTAGCTATAGTTCAGTAAAAATTAAGTCAAAATTCTTTCTTTAAAGCTTATTTTGATCAGACAAGTGAATACTACAACTTTAATTAAAGATAAAAGGTTATTGCAATAGAAACTGTAAAATAATTAAATTATTAAAACTGGAGACCAAAGGCTGTCAGTACAGTTTTCTCAGTGAGTTTAAAAGCTAAATATATAATATTTTTAAAATATATGTAAAATGCTATACTGAACAAGTTTACTTAAGACATCAGAACAGGTTGTCTTAATAAAATAAAAAGTTATAAGTATTTTTAGACGAATGATTTTTTGTTAATTTTTTGTATAATAGATTTGCAAAAAGAGTTATTCTTTAAAATAAAAAAGTTTTATTAGTAATATATATTAATTTTAGATAAAAATTTTAAAGAGATATACAAAACTATATAAAAATAAACTATATATACTCTACCTTTAATTATTTTTATAAATATCTAAAGATAAAAATGTAGTGACCTAGTGAAGTGGGTAGGTTGTCAACCTTCGAGTGGCAGGTCTAAGATTCAATTTTCATGGATGATGAATTTTGAAAATTATACCTATGTTACAGTAACTGTCTTTTGCCAATCAGTTGAGTTTTGGGCATCTGTAATTTTAGGTACACCAAGTTGGGTCTCACCTAACATTGGGAGCTTGGAGCATCTATGTGAAGTGTAATGTTACATAATATATATACATAGAAGAATATAAAACTAGTGTTATATAAGGCTTCAGGCAAACCCATAATAAGACCACCGGACATAAAAGGCTAAGAAACTGAAGAGACAGAAACTCACTTGGAAATCCTGAGTAAAGAGGTAGCACAAACTTTTGATGGTACCATTGAACTGATAGAAGCCCATGAAACACCTTTATAGGAACTGTCAGATAAACTGGATAACAAAGATGTATAAAGGAGCATATGACCAACCAGGCCACCAGAATCGCTGAAGGAAAAGGATACATAAGTATACCATACCGGGCCATCTGGATTGAAAGTCTGAGGAGTTGGTTAGTTCCAAGTTGCAGCTAGTAGAGGATGATAGAGAAGAAGTCAGAAAGATGGGTACTAGGGTTTGGGTGAACTTTACAAGGTTAATAGCAGTTTAAGGAGTAACCCTAACTGCAAGTGTTTGCCTCGGCTATAGTATCAAACCAGGTTAGTGATAAAGAGAATACAGCTCACTCTGATAGGTTTGCCTCGAGGATAAAAATAGTCTAAGGATTATAATCTTATAGTTAATAGCAAATAGATTCAGGTCTGTAACCTGGTGAAATTAATACTAAGGTTAGATCAGAGGGTTTAAATAGAACATCTAAGCAGGGATGTTAGGTATGGCAACTGGTGGGAAACCCTCAGGCGGACTTCTTAAATAGGTAATATAGAAAAGTTACATGTGTAGCCAGTTGTACACTTGTCTAATAGTTTATTATAGATACATCTATATAAACATGTACCTACTATAAGTATTAATAAAAAGCTCAAACCACAGAGGTCATCTTAATACTGAAAAAAAATAAAAAAAATAAATATCTAAAGGTAGTTTGCTAATTAAGATATTACTTAGACTTAAAAGTTATATTAAGCCAATTAGTAAAATTATAAAAAATAACCAAGTTTTTTATAAATAAAATTTTTATTAATCAAATTCTATTTTTTGTATTTTATTATTATTTTTTTTTTTCTTTTTATTATTCTATGTTATAATTTAATTATAATTATTTATATCTAAATTTTTTCTATTTTAGATATTATTTTATTAATAATTGTTTTTATTATTTTATTTTTTTTAAAACTTATATTAATTTTTATTTTTTTATTTAGTTTTGAACTTATATTAATTTTTATTTTTTATTTTTTTTTAAATATTAATATGAGTACTTATAACTCAGAATTTTATTAATAGTATATTTTAGCTTTATAATTTTATTACAAAAGTTATAAAAGACAATCATAAGAAGATTGTATAACTAATTACTTATACAACTTTAGTCATTGTTTAATTTAAATAGTTTATCTAAAGGTTCTATACTAGCTGCCATACCTAAAACCCATATATAAGTCCTTTATTTAAATATTCTAATTTTTATATCTACTTACTTACTTATTCTATTAATTACTTTAGTTTTTACTAGTACAAATATGTTATGATTATTAGATTTTTAAAAGAGTTCATTTATGTAAAAAAATCTTTAATTTTGTAGTAAACTTACTAAAGTTTTTTATATTCTTATTTACAATTAATCTGATATTACTATAGTTAAAATCAATACTTGCAGTTAGAACTAATTATTAAATTGCTATATCATTATAAAGTTCATACAACCTTAGTATCTTTTTTTTACAATCTTACTAGTACTTTGTTTATTCTTGCAAATTCTTTTATACTATTAATTCAGTAAACTTTGTATAATATAATTTTATGCTTAGATTAACCAATAACCAGATTAATAGATCTTTTTTATCTAAAGGTTCTTGTTTACACAGATTATTTGGTTTGGATTTTTTTTTAGATTAAGATTTTTATAGAAAATATTATTAAAGATTATATTATTTTTTTACTTAAAATTT